GTGTGCACACTGGGTCACACCCCGGCCGCGTGTGCACACTGGGTCACACCCCGGCCGCGTGTGCACACTGGGTCACACCCCGGCCGCGTGTGCACACTGGGTCACACCCCGGCTGCGTGTATACATTTACTTAGTCTGATCCAGCAGCGTGTATCCACTCTCGGGAAGATCCCGGTAGCGCACACGTTGGCTCAGGACGGTCTTGTGCTGCGTGCACTTCTCTTCACTGAGCTCGTGCTGTACGACGTGCACACGTTCACGTTCACAGCCCGTGAGCCCCTGCTCGTGTGTCGTGCATTCAGTAAATCCCTCTGATGTAGCCCCAGCAGGCCGTGCATCTGAGCACGTGATCTCTCTGGCTGGCGTTGGTGACTGCCCTTTCCGTCACGGGTGTGGGAGTGGGTGCCGCCCTTCGGGGTTCTGACTGCCCCTCTGTTCAGGTGTTAGACAGTGCCGACAGCCAGTACTCGGGGATGCAGATGGAGCACCTGCAGGACGAAGAGGAGGACGCCGCCGGGGTTCTCACGGACGAGGCCTCCGTTGGTGCGTGCCCTGCCCTGCCGGGCGCTTCCCTCTCTGGGTGGACGGGGGAGACGTGCAGTGGCTCTGTTTGCCGAGCGCATGTGGCAGGAGTGACCGTGCTTTTCCTTGATGCAAGTCCTGGGCTCCCGGCTCCTCTGTGTGTACACTGCGCCTGTGTTTTGTCTTTCACTTGACGCTGGGTTTCGTCTGCAGCCCTTCCCCATGCGCATGCCCTGAGGAACGCGGGGCATAGCCGCCAGTCTTCCGACAGCAGCGTGGAGAGACTCCTGCCTAAGGAGGAGGCTGCGGAACTGGGGGACCCCGAGAGCAAGGTGAGGCCCGGCTCCTGCCTGACATGCAGAGTGCTCTAATAACCTGGCTCCTGGTGGCCCCACAGACAGCAACGGGGACCCTGCCCTGTGCCCCCCACGTGGAGTGCTCAAACCACGGGGCTCCCAGGAGCCTGTGGACACCGCAGGGCCAGCCCTGGGCCGGCCTCCCCATCCCCTGCACTCTAACCCACTGTTGCAGTCAGTAACTGTGTCCATCCGCCCTGCAGAGTGTCCTCCTCTGTCTGTGCCCTCTGCCCTCGCCGGCCTAGTGTCTTTGCCCCGGGACCTGCCCCTCTGGACAGCGTGACTGACCGAGCTTAGCCTCTGTGAGGCACCTTCGTGGTTCACCCCATGGTGGCGTGAGTCAGGCCTTCGTGTCTCCTCACGGCTCTTCCACAACGTGGACCCCACTTTTTGTGTGCCTGTCCATCTCTTGATAGCGTGCTGACGCTTCCCACCTCTGGTGACTGGACAGTGCTGCGGTCAGCACTGCTGTTGTGGTCATTAGACATTTTAAATGCAGCACTTGGCGGTGTTAATTTTTCCATGCACTCTCCTGACTCAGTTTCAGTTCTCAGAGATGAGTGTGACATGGTGAGGCCTGTACCGACCCTCACTTGTGTGGGGAGCCCGGCGCGTCACCTCACTTCTGCCTCCACTGCGTGTCATCAGCTTGTCCTGTGGACGAGCCCTCCCCACCTGCGTGTCACCTGCCACCTCACAGACTTCGTCCCTGAGTGCATGTCCTCAGCTTTCCCCGTGCCCAGCGTTTGCCGCCTGCCTTCCTCACAGGACACCCCCACCCCCCGAGTCTCACCTGCCTGCCTTCTTCAGGGTACACTCCCCCCACTCCTCCCAAGTGTCACCTGTCTCCCTCACAGGACATCTCCTTGAGTGTGTGTAACACTTGCCTTTCTCACGGGACCATCCCCCCTTCCAAGTGTTTATCACCTGCCTTCCTCGGGGGACACCCCCACCCCATGAATGTCACCTGTCTTCCTCTCAGGAACACCCAGCGATTTGTCACCTGTGTTCCTCACAGCACACCCTCTCTGAAGGTGGTAACTGCCTTCCTCACAGGACAGCCCCTGCTTCCCGACTGTGTGTCACCTGCCTTCCTTGCAGGGCCCCCCTCGCTGTGGAGCCCCTTCTGACAGAGCATACAGACGCTGTCTTCTGAGGTGTCAGCTTTGTGCCAGTTGTGACGTCTCTGGGATCGGGCGTGACGTCCCAGGATGCACATCTTTGGGTCACTAGCACCTGGAACTGTGGAATGAGCGGCTGCTGGTTCTTCCATGGTGAGACCCAGTGCCTCCATTTCTGTTGTAGCCTTGCAGGATCAAAGGGGACATTGGGCAGTTCACTGACGACGACGCTGCTCCTCTGGTCCACTGTGTCCGCCTTTTAGCCGCTTCGTTTTTGCTCACTGGGGAGAAAAACGGTACGTATGGGAGGACAGAGGAGAGCACTTGGGTGTAGGAGAGCCCCGTGGGGCCAGGGTTAGGCCTGGTGTGTGCTGGAGGGGGATAACTCGGGGTGGGCTTGGCCTCCCCTGACTGCTGGGAGAAGGGTGGGACGGCGGGTCACTTGCAAGTGTCCTGTTGGCGAGGGCCCGTACTTTCCCTGCAGCTCTGGTCCCGGATCGTGACGCGAGGGTGAGCGTGAAGGCACTGGCGGTCAGCTGTGTCGGAGCAGCGGTGGCCTTGCACCCTGAATCCTTCTTCAGCAAGCTTTATAAGTCCCCCCTGGACCCCGTGGAGTACCCTGGTACGGTGACGTCTACTCCAGTCTTCATAGTCAATCCTAGATCTGACTTGTGGGCAGGACAGTCAGTGTTCCGAGTGAAAGCTCAGTGTTGGACAGTGTGTGTCCCTGGATCATGTACGTGTGATGTTGAGGTGGATGAGGGGACGTGCACACGCACACCTTAGGCACAGGTGTGTCGCGTCGGAGTACACGCAGGCCAGGTACCACGAAGCAAGAGTTCACACTCACGTGAGCGCTCACCCAGGCCAGGTGCTCTCACCCACAGGGAGATAGCGGTTCATGCCCATGGTCAGGTGTTCACACCCGGGGAGCAGGTGCTCACACTCACAGTTGAGACGCTCGTGCTCCCTGGTCAGGTGCTCAGACCCGTGGACAGGACGACTGGACTGAAGCAGCAGCTGCTTTCTGTCTCCCATCATGCACATTTGAAAGTTTTCTTTCTCTTTGTGCGAGGGGACAGTAAATGCATTAAATACGCAGGGTGTTGTGTGGGTCAGGTCTTCTAATAGTTTGTTAAATTAGGATGTAGACTTTTGATAATATGACACTGTAATCACGACTCTGCAGTCTGTTGTGTTGAGCTAGTGTGCAGGGTGTGTTGAATCTGCGGGTACTTCAGTCCCCAGACCTTTCCTACAAGTCTTGCGATGAACTGACTGGAGCACTCATCCCATGGGCTGATTGTAATATAACCCTCCCTGAGCTGAGTGTAGCACAGTCGTCTCTGGGCTGACAGCTCTAGTGCAGTCCTGTCTGCACAGACTGGATGCGGTCTTCCCACGGCTTACAGTAGAGCAGTCCTCCCTGGACTGACGTAGCACAGCCCCGTGGCTGACCGGAGAACAGTGCTCTCCGGGCTGACTATGGGTTCTCTGTCCAGTCCTCTATGGGCTGTCTGTAGCTCAGTCCTCCCATCAGCTGGCTGTAGTACAGTCCTCTCTGACAGAGACTGACTGTAGCATAGTCTTCCCATGGGCTGTCTGTAGTGCAGTCCTCTCAGGGCTGACTGTAGTGCAGTTCTCCCGTGGACTGGCTGTATGTAGCACAGTCCTATCTGGACTGCCTGTAGTGCTGTCCTCCTCTGGGCTGACTGTAGCACGCTCCTCCCATGGTTTGACTGTTATACATCTGCCCCAGAATGACTGTAGCTCGGGCCTATCTAGGCTGACTGTAGCACACTCCTCCCATGGGCTGACTGTAATGCAGTCCTCTCTGGGTTGACATTAGTGCTGTCTTCTCTAGATTGACGGTGGTGCAGTCCTCCCTGGGCTGACTGTAGCACACTCCTCCCATGGTTTGACTGTTATACATCTGCCCCGGAATGACTGTAGCTCGGGCCTATCTAGGTTGACTGTAGCACAGCCCTCCCATGGGCTGGCTGTAATGCAGTCCTCTCTGGGTTGACTGTAGTGCTGTCTTCTCTAGATTGACGGTAGTGCAGTCCTCCCTGGGCTGATTGCAGTTCAGTCCTCTCTGGGTGGCCCTTTCTGAAAGGTCACACTGTTTTGTGTGAGAATTTTGGAGGTGTGGCATCATTTCACGGCTGGTCACCTTGTCTCCCCAGAGGAGCAGTACGTCTCAGACATCCTGAACTACATTGACCATGGAGACCCCCAGATCCGAGGAGCCACTGCCATCCTCTGTGGGACCCTCGTCCACTCCATCCTCACCCGGTCCCGTTTCCACGTGAGCGACTGGCTGGGCGCCATGCGAGGCCTTACAGGTACCTGTCACGTGAGCACTCGAGCCTTATCCAGACGTTCCCAAGGCCGCGGCCACACCAAGGTGTTTGTTGCTTGTCCCCACTCAGGAAACACCTTTTCTCTGGTGGATTGTGTTCCTTTGCTGCAGAAAACCCTGAAGGACGAATCGTCTGTGACTTGCAAGCTGGCCTGTACCGCGGTGCGGGTGAGCATCTCTGGAGGTTGGGTCTTTGACTAGAGGCTTCACTGTTCTTACCGTTGAACTTGGAGCTCACAGCACCTGATTTCTGGGTATTCTAAAGCTGTTCACCACACAGCATTGCAAATAAAGCTGAATTGCAATGGATTTAAGTTTTCATTCCCACAACTCTTTAAAGTCTTCCTTCTTTGAAAGGTCTTCTTCTTTCGATACGCTTTGTGAAGACTAAATGTGAAGTCTGTTTCTTTTTTAGGGCGTGTGTCACGTGGCTGTGGTAAAATCAGCTTTTTGGCAGTGGGGTTTTTGGTGGTTGTGGGGCGTGGAGACGTAGCGTGAGCCTGAGGTGCTGCTCCGAGTGCAGGGGCTGAGCTCAGTCCCTGCGGTGACAGGCCGGCTGCTGGTGTCCAGTGCTGCCTGCAGAGCCTCGTCACCTTTACGTGAAAGGAGAAGCCGCAGACCTCTTGATTGTCGATCTGTGGGGTCCGTCCTCTTCTTCGAGGGTCGTGGGGCTGGCAAGAGTCTGGCGTCTGAGCCTGTGTTTGCTGGGACGACACAGCTCGGAGCAGTGTGTCTGCAGCGGCCTGAGCGCCGCGTCCGTCCCTCTTCCAGCTGTGCGTCATGAGCCTGTGCAGCAGCAGCTACAGCGAGCTGGGCCTGCAGCTCATCATCGACGCGCTGCCGCTGAGGAGCAGCTCCTACTGGCTGGTGCGCACGGAGCTTCTGGAAACGCTGGCGGAGATTGACTTCAGGTGAGCCAGCCCAGACCGTCCCAGGCGAGCGGTGGGCCGAGCCTGGCCTCTCGGCCTCTGAGGGCCATGCACGCAGGGGCCCTCCCGCTGAGTGGCTCTTTGCTGCCCTCGGTCCTGTGCTTGGCACTCGGCGTCGTGAAGCGTCGTCCTCCAGCCGGCGGGCACTCCGCACAGTGAGAGACGTGAGCAGGCCGCTCCACTGGCAGCTGGAGTTTGAGAACTGGGTGCCCCAGTCGGTGCTGTTGAAGAGCGTGGCCGCCCTGCGTGGAGCCTGCGTCCCGGGGGATCTGAGTCTTGCTGTATAAAGACTCGAACACGTTGTGATTTCCGTTTGTGAGAGCAGGTTTTCGTTGTTGTGTGCTGTCCATCTGGAACCAGCTCAGATGGCCCCTCACGGGTGTCCTGAGGCTCTAAGTCACGTGGTAGGAGAATGCGCCGCGGAGCAGCTGCTGCATTCACACTAGATGCCTGTGGGTCCGCAGCACAAGTCCGCACCCCTCGACCACCAGAGCTCCCATCCTGCTTGGAAAGGTGGAGGGTCAGTGAGAGAGGAAACCCCTCAAGGAGACGGGTTGACGTGGTGATTGTACAGTGGGCGCGAGGGGAGACGCCGAGGGTGACGCAGGACAGGGCAGGTGCCAGTGTTGTTCCCGGGGTCGCTGAGTCCTAGTCTACCTGGCAGTCTTAGTCGGAGATCTTTCATGCTCTCTTCTAGCAGGGAAGTTTGACCTTTCGTGTTTAAGACTTGTACAGGTTTTCTTTCCTTCTCTTTGAAGCTAGCGTTAACCGAGTGCTTGTTAAGAGCTGAGGAGCTCTGCTGGTGAAGGGGCCCGTGTAGAGGTGGGCTGCTAACAGAAGGGTGGGCGATTGGAAGGCAGCTCCCAGGAGCCCTGCAACCTGGGACACCTGCTGGAGGGTCGTGTGGCTGGGGTCGCCTTGGGCCAGTGTGTGGTGGGGGTGTGGGGATAGTAGGTGCTGTACTCTCTCCTGCACGGGCCATTTTATTTAATCCTCACAACTTCTCCTGGGAATCAAGCCATCTTCTCACCCCATTTCACATACTGGGAAATGAACCAGGAGGCAGGTCATTTACCCAAGGCCCCACTGCTGCCGGGAGTGGGAAGCCGGGTGAGTCTGGAGTCCCCCCACAGTCTGGCTACACCTCGCCACAGTCACTTCAGAGTGTGCCCAGCTCTGCGTCTTGTGCTGACTGCACAGCTGTTGGTGTAGAAGATGCTGGTCCGTGGTGAACCACGTGCCTGCCATTGATGCAGCCGGAGACACAGCCGCAGAGGGGGCTCAGGCAGTGGCTAGAAAGGCGTATTACAAAGCCTGGACACCCCGCAGGAGCTTTGGCTTTGGGGCTGTGTTCTTGGGTTTTCAAGATGCATAGAGAACTTGTTGTTGTTGTTGTTATGAGCCGTTGAGTCGTTTGCGACTCATAGCGACCCTGTGAACAACATCCCTAAACCCTGCTCTATCCTGTGCCAATCTCATTGCCTCTGACACACCCATCCCGATTACCCCAGTCACTGAGTCAGTCCACCTCATAGAGGGTCTTCCCCTCCGGCACTGTCCCTCTACTCTACCCAGCATGATGTCCCTCTCCAAGGACCGGTCTCTCCTCACAACATGTCCAAAGTATGTCAGACGAAGCCCCAGAATCCTTGCCTCCAAGGAGCCACCCGGTTTAACCCTCTCCAGGATCGATCTGGTTGTATATATGGTTTTCGGAGGCCTGCTATTTCAGAAGTGGATGGCCAATCCTTTTTCCTAGTGTGTCTTAATCTGAATGTTCAGATTTAGAGGAGTATCTGACAGACAAGCAATTTATAGAACAGTGAATGATAAATCCCTCATTGTGGAGTTAAATATTAGTTACAGTGTTGTCCCTGCCCTTGCCCAGTATCTTGACCCACTTCTTTCCCAGCTCCACCCTCCACCAGGATACCCCTTCACTTCTATGAAATTCCTTCAGCATTTATCTTCCATTGTCCAACCCTTGATCTGAGAGCTTGTATCTGAAGCTTTTTGGCTTCCGTTACCAAGCAGTATTTTGCTGAGTCTGGAATTCTGACGGGAATGTCAGTTCTTCTAACTTAAAAAGTCAGCCTTCCTGTCCTGTGAATACGTGCAGCCTCTCCATGTGGCTGTGGGCTGGGGCACACGCTCGCTGTGACATCCGCCAGGGTTACCGTCCTCCGTGTCCCTCGTGTACACCCTTGTTCACCACGTTTCCCTCAGGTTGGTGAGCTTCCTGGAGTCCAGAGCTGAGAAGCTGCACCGCGGGGCCCATCACTACACCGGGGTGAGTGGTCAGGCCCAGCCTGTCACGTGGAGTCTCTCTGTCCTCGGCTGTCGTCTTTTGCAGCGTCTAGGGTGGAAGCTGGGGTTGTGTGATCTGAGCTTGAGTCTAGTGACCTCGCTGAGTTGTCAGACGGCATAGAGTTTATTCCGAGATGACATCTGTGTGTGTTTCCCTTGAAGCTGTTAAAGCTGCAGGAGCGAGTGCTCAACAATGTGGTCATTTCTCTGCTGGGGGACGAAGACTCCAGGGTGCGGCACGTAGCTGCAGCTTCACTCCTGAGGTATGTACCGGGCGTCCCCCCTCCGTGGTCACCAGGGCCGGAGGGAGAAGGAACGCGGGGCTGGTGGTGATGGAGGCGTCATACTGGTAAGGGAGGGACGCAGCAGCCAGTTATGATTACTGTCTGTGAGTTGTAACATATAAAAAGCTGAATTGACAGAAGTTCTGTGATTTGTCGACACTGTCACTTTTGGGTCACTTCTGCTGTGTGTTCTCTGCGTCAGTTTATATTTTCTGAAAGTACTGAATGACAGGAGAGTGTGAGGAGAGGGACGAAGATGATAACAGAAAGTATTATTGGATGGTTTGACCTGATTTCCACTCATGCTCCTGTTAAAGTATCGAAGAAATTCACTTCCTGAAAGGCCTAGAGTAACAATAATTCAAAAGGAAAATGCGGCCTTCTCCTGGCTGTGGTGGTGCTGGACACACTGCAGGCTGTGTGGGACGGTGGACACTGCAGGCTGTGGGATGGTGGACA